ACCGTGCCGTCAGAGCCGGCCAGGCATTGTGTGAGCGATCGGCCTTATTCAGTTTCACTGGCTGGGCTTGGCGAGGGAGGGAGACACGGGCGGAGGAGGAGTCAAGGAAACTTTCGACGCTGCGCCTCGTCCCCTGCTCGCTTCCCTCCTGCTCGCTTCCCTCCTTCCTTCCCTCCTTCCTTCCCTCCCAGCTGGCAGGAATTTCATCCAGGAAAGGAGGGGGAAAAAGGTGGGGGGGGGAGAGAAAGCGAAGAAATCCAAAGCAAGGAAAGCCCAGCATGTCACGGACATGCACTTGTTTGAAAAGGGGCGCCCCAGATCCTGAGCTAGGGGCGTCCCCAGGCCCTCTTGCCTTTGAGGACAGTCAAGGGGACACTGGGGACAGGAAGGAGAGCCTGGGAGAGAGAGCTCAGGGTTCCCCCAGTGCCTCCCCCAGCAGGTCTGGAACTGGAGGAACCCAAGAGAAGCCGTCTGTCTGCCCAGACCCAGGAGAAGCTATCTGCTCAAGGTCACAGGTGCTGGGGCCGGCCTGTGGTGCGGCGCAGGGCAGCCCTCCTCTCTGGGTCCGGGATGGGGTCGTGAGGTTGGGGGGAGAGGTGGAGGAGGGAGGCACAGTGCCCTAACACGCAGACTAGGCTGTGGGTTTCCACCCCCTGGGGTGCAATGGATGGAAATGCACATCTGTCCTCTCAGTTGGGTTTAAGGCCTGAGGATCGCCTTGATTCCTCCCCCGGCCCCCCAGAGCCCACGGTGTGCCCAGCTGGTTGTCAGAGCCCGTCAGAAAGTCAGCGCACTGGCGCCACCTGGAGGCTCAGTGCTGCAGATGCCGTTCAGCCACCTTGATGCTCCAATCCCAGAGTGAGCCCTTTGTCCTTCTTCAGGATGTGGGGAGCTGGTTCAAGTTGGAGCCAAGTTCCGTTCTCTCTTAGCCATCCTTGGCTGGCAGAGACTCCTTCACCAGGCCTCTTGCTTTCTCTGGTCACTTGGTCTCCCTCTGAGCCAAAACCCCAGTGCAGAGCTAGATGAGGCTCAAGGCCTCCCTGTTCCCACTTGCCCTGACCCCTCATGCTCCAAACAGAATGCACACCAGAAACTTGAGGACCTTGATGCATCCAGTGTTTCTCCCACAGTGTACTCTCACGTCTCAGGACCTTCTCTTCCATCTCCAACCTCTGCTGTCACTCCAGGGCCAGAGGGGCTGCCTAGCTGGGTCAAAAAGCCAGCAAACCCTGACCCCGAGAATCAGTCAGGACTATAGCCCTAAAAGCAGAAGATGAGCTACAGGATGGCCCTGCACAAGCAGGAAGCCCTACACACGGAAGCGCCTCTGCCCTGTGGGCGAGCCTGAGCTCAGGAGGCCTGCATTTCCCACGTCACACATTTGTAGCCGTGGCTCCATCCTGCACCCCATCTCCACACCTGCTGCTCTGGTGAGGGGCTCAGGCTGGAAAGCCATGGTTGAGCCCTGCTGCAGTCTCTCGAGGTGGGCTCAGAATTGTCTCCAGCCAGCTCCTGTGAGAGTCTTTATGGAACCAAGCCCGTTGGCCTTGCTATTGTTTCCCTTCTTCAACCCTTCCGAGGTCCTGACCTCTGGCTCTTTGAGCATTACTAGGAACTGAAGTTGGTCTCCCCCATTCAGGGTGTGTGTGTGTGTGCGTGCGTGTGCGTGTGTGCACGCGTGTAACTCTACTCAAGAGAATTCTCTTTCAATATTTCTAGGCTTCTCTGTCTTCCAGGGCCCTTTACCAAGGGCCATCAGGTTCTAGCATCAGGGTCATGAGATCCAGTCCAGGAGACAGGCAGGAGCTTATGCGGCCATCCCACATTGTATTCTACCACGTGCAGTCCAGCCTTCAGGTGTCCGGGGCAGGCAGTCACATCCCCACTCTTTTCTGGTCTCCTAGGTTTTCCCTTTTCCATATTCCCACTCCTTGCTTTTTCCTCCACCTCCTTCTATTGGAGGGAAGGAAACAGGAAAGAACAAAGGAGCAGGGGAGTTTCTCTGGCTCCTGACCCTCATGAGCATCTCTACCCTGGCAAGAAGTCTGCTGTGAGTGAGGATGGCTCCTAAGGCTCTCACAGGTAGAGAAGGCTGGGGTGTCCAGAGAAGGGAAGTGAGGGACCACATAAATCCTAGTGCATTTGGGATGGTAGGTAAGAATGGGTACGTCAGTGAGATTCCATCCCTGGGCCTAGCACCACAGGATGCTGGAGGTAGACATGGAAATCTGAGGAAACCAGAAGACTAAGAAGTGTGTGTTGGGGGACGGGGGGACTCCAGGGTGAGAGACAGCCACTTACCAGCTCCAGGGCACAGCCAGCTCAGCTGGTCCCAGGCCCCAGCTCCCATCCTTGTCCTGTTTGCCCACGAGGACCCATGCTAGAGGACGGACAGACAGAACACAGCCTCAGACTTGACCGCATGTTTTTATTCCTTGGCTGTTTCCCCTTGGTTGGGATCCTATGGAACTATTCTCCCAGGGAAGCCAGGCCTGGGTTGCCTTGCCATCACAGCCCATCAGGGCACGGGCCCTTCGCAGACTCAGAGCAGCCCGTCCACCAGTGCGCTGTTCAGACAGTTGTAGAGGTAGATATACTGCTCCTGAGGGTAGACATGGAAAGAAGCTTCACTCTTAACTGCTCAAACCTGTGTCTTCTAACCCTAGCACGCCATGTGGGTCAGAGCATAGTGATCCATAGCGCCACCTGGTGGCAAAACTGCATGCTGCTGCCCCGAGGCCGCTGCAGCCAGAGTAGAACCTGCCCGTCCCAGGCCCGTCCCACAGCTGAGCCCTTGGTTGCCTCTCACCAGTGTTGGAGTCATGAGACCACAGGCCTGTGACTGCTGCAGGGCCACGTTAAAGACATCCACGGTGCACTCAGATCCCGCCTGCTGCAGCAGCTGCTCCATGGCCAGGAAGATGCCCAGATGGGTAGTGCCTTTGCTGCAATTGACTTAGAGTTGGATGGAGTACCTGGGGGGTACTCACATCCAGGGATGTGGTTGAAAGCACACCTGGGTCCAGGGACTGGGAAAGGGCCCTGGATACTGACCGGAAGTGGGGGAGAGGAGGGTAAAGGGCAAGGTGCAGAGTGGACAGGGACTTTGGGGCGCTGTGTTGTTTGGACCCACACATTCAAGCAGGGGCCGGGAGATTTGTCCAACAGCACCTGGAGTGGCTGAGCAGTGTGCCTGGCTTTCTGCTCTTGCCCTGGGAGCAGCAACGGCCCACCGCAGCTAGGAAAGGCAGCAAGGTGGCAGCAGGCAGCTCGTGCCCCGATTCCCAGAACTGAAACTGCAGATGCTGGACCTGCCTCTCCAGCCCGCTCTGCCCCTGGGAAGAGACCCGATCCCAATTGGTGCCCAGCAGGGCAGAGGGTAGCCAGCCCGGAACCCTCCCTCACCCTGACCCCTGACCCCCACAGCCCGCCACCCCATGGCCGGTGGCCAAGACACCTACATGTGTGACCCTGAACACGGTACAGGGCCAGCCGACTGTGTTGCTCTCAGCCACCCGGTGCACTGTCACCATGTCTGTGACCACCGGCTGCATCTCTGTTGGCCAGAACTCCTGAGGCTGGAACATAGCCCACGTTGCTCAGGGACCTTCCTAAGGTCAGACGGCACCATGCTTTCCTCCCTTCCCTATCCTCTGTCCCCCATGCCCCTCACCTTCTCCTGGGTATCCAGCGGGTACAGGGAGACCAGCACATGGGCTCCGTGCTCCCACACCAGCTCCCAGAGTTCCTCTGGCCCCGCAGGGCCAGTCAATACGACGTGGTCACGGCCAGAAGGCCCACCCTGCAGAGCACAGCCAATCAACTCCAAGGATTAAGTTGTCCTCAGCCCAACCCATAGCTCCAAAAGCTCCCAGAGTCCCCAGGTCCCAGGCTTAGAAGCACAAATAGAGGGTAAGCAGTAAGGCAGCTAGACCAGCATCATCTCACAGGGAAGAGCCAGGCTTCGGTCATGGCATCAGTGGGGCTCTCCTGATCCAGAGAAAGCTCAACCTGAGAACCATCATCTGTGGGGAAGTGGTGAGTGAGAGGTTGCCCACAGGGTCCAAGCCTTTTGCCCCAACCCCAACTCTCACAGTGTACTCAGTGAGACTCACAGAAGATAGAGCTGTTCTGCTCATGGCCAGGAGGGGGCAACAAAGAGCCCGTGTCATCCTTGATGGCCTGCAGCAGGAGCTGGGAAGGAGATGGGCACCCTGAGGCAGGGAAGGGAAGGCCCACCTCTGGTGCCACCCACTCCTGGGCCTGCAGTCTACCTCGTACTCCTTCAGGAAGCCAGAGTTGGCATTGGCTGCCCTTTTGGCACACGCCTGTGCAAAGTTCATCACAGAGATGGGCCCAGATCTGGGGGAAGGACTGAGAAGAAAGAGGCTCAGGTGACCCAGCTCCCATGCCAGTCTTCCAGGCTCTCCCCAACGGCAGGAGGCCAAATCCTGTTGGTGAGAAGGTACAGGGCACCATGCCCAGCTGCCGGGACCCAAGAACTTACTCTAAAGTGTCAGAGGGCTCATTCAGAATCTTGTTCAGCAGACAGCTGTGCAGGAAGATGTACTGGCTCTGGTGGAACAGAGGATGTCAGCTGGGGGGGCGGGAGGGGGAGGGGGAGGGGGAGGGCTAGCCCAGCAAGATCTAAAACACACAGGAGGGACAAGGGATCCATCTAAGAACTTCCCTGTGCTGTCCTTCAGTGTGGATTTGGCCAGGGCCATCCCTCCTGTCCGTTCATAGAAAAGAAAACAAGC